TTAGGTTTAAATATGTTGATCGATAGGTTTAAAGAACAGATTGGATATGCCACTCTTATTTGCAGATCTAGAAATGAATGTATAGAGCTACCGGAGAAGACAAAGGGGCGGTGGTAGGTAAGTAGGCCACGTCGTTGGAATTTACATATGGGTTGCAAACCATTGTTACGTGAGTTTGCTAGGGGTAGGCGGTTTTGCACAAGCAGGGGACATTAATGGTGGTTTAGGTGGTGGTTTCTGAGCACTGGTAGAATAGAGGGAGAAGGTAGACTGATTTTGGTGGTGTTGTTGTGAGAGAGGGGGGGGGGGTTAGTTGGTGATAATTTACTTATCGTTTTCTTTTAAGTAAAATAATAGGAATTTAAATAAATTAAATTAAAAAGGAATTATTTGAGGGCATATAGGTTATTTCATGTTGGGTGTGGACCAAAATCACACAAAATGACAACTATAAGGACCAAAACAGCAGAAAGTATACAAAATTGGACTAATAATGCACCAACAAACTTTTTTGAACCAAAATCATAGAATTTTACCAATCACAAGGACCATTTTTATAATTTTGTTCTAAAGTTAATTTTAAAAAAAAAATTATAATTCTAAGACAATTCATCACAAAACGCAATTTTAATGTTTTCTAAACAATATTAAAAATGCATATAGTCCATATCATATAAAATAACAACACCACCACTTATTGCCCGAGCCCTAAGCTATAACAATTTTATTAGTCAACATAAAATTGATTGATAAAAAATAAGAGAACGAAAAACCAAATTTTGCTTCGAGTTGGTAAAAAAATGATCAAAAGAAAGGTAGGCTTGTCATACACCATGGTCTGTCGTTTCTGTCTTCTAGGAACCATTGATAGCTATATTCGTTAGTGAGCCGAGACTATCCGTTAGTGAACCATTGATAGATGTATCCGTCATTGTTGCGCCAAGGCTACCGGCCAAAGATTAGCCAAGCGCTAGGATACCTTTGTGTAGTTGGGTTATATACATGTGTGTTGTTTGATTATTTGGTTGTGAGGTCCACCAAGGATAGATTTAGGGTTGTAGTATTCAGATCTACTTATTGTATATTTTTATATTACTAAAATCGAACCTATTCTAATTTATGATGGAAAAACTTAGAACATACAATTGAAAATCTTAACTTGTTACTATAATGACAGGGCTTTAAAACACAAAAAATCATTACATAAAGTCAAGAAACACAACCACAATAATCAACTTAATCACAAGGTTCAATCAAAAAAAGAAAATCACTACAAGAAATATCGGTATTAGCGGCGACATGTAATTGACGCGTTACATGTCGCCGCTAATACTCGGTGTCGCCGCTAATGATGCTACAGTGTCGATCCGCGTCAAATCAACTCTGTCTGTTCGATCTGTTTTTCATCCAACGGTGGGAAATGAGGAAAAATGGCGCTGTGTTTTCCCTCCCGGGGTGTCGCCGCTAATACCCTATTGTCGCCGCTGAAACCCTCGCGTTGCCGCTAATACTCATCGCAGATAACCCCCCAACTGCGTCACTCTCCTGTTCGTTCTGCTTCCTTTCACTCCTCCAAAGGTAACCGGCGACTGCACTTCCGACGACGACCTCGTTTGCGCCATAGGACTCGTCTCCGGCAGCCATTACCGCCGGCCACTAGTGGAGCTCCATTATTACCGGCAACCACACTCATTTCCGGCGGCCACACTCATTTCCGGAGACAAAAGTTCGATCTAAGGTCCGATTTCTTCCGTATTTTCTCTTCAACTTTTGTTTTGAAGTTTTTTTTAAGTGTTTAATTTAATGTTTTTTGAACCCTTGTCGGAAAATCTAATTCTGCCGCATCTATTACCGGAATTGTTGCCGGAAAACTGGATTTCTTACCGGAAAATCGCTAAATTACACTACCACAGGTTCCTTTTCATGAATTTTGAGATTATATATTTGATTTGTATGTTTTTGTATGTTATTTGTATTGTTATTATTTGGAATTTGGAATGAATTGTCGTGGAATTTTTTATGTGTTATTTGTATGTTTTTGTGTGTTTTTTGTATAGTTATTATTTGGAATTAGGTTGCTATAATAGAAAAATAAGTATGATGCTATAATGAATATGTGTAGGAAAATGTTTATATGTATTTGTATGTATAGTGTGTGTATCTATGTATGTAATGTGTGAAAAACAAAGTGTGTATATTACAAAGAGTAATTTTCAAATCAAATTTAATATTTATGTGGTATTTTTATGTTTTTGTGTGTTTTTTGTATGATTATTATTTGGAATTAGGTTGCTATATTAGAAAAAGAAGTATGATGCTATAATGAATATGTGTAAGAAAATGTTTATATGTATTTGTATGTATAGTGTGTGTATCTATGTATGTAATGTGTGAAAAACAAAGTGTGTATATTACAAAAGAGTAATTTTCAAATCAAATTTAATATTTATGTGGTATTTTAGTTTTAAAATTATTCATAATCTTAAATTGCTTTGTAAAACTATTAAATTAAATTTTCTATTATTAATTTAGATATTAAATATAGTTATAAGAAATATAGTTATTTATAATCATAAATTGTTTTGTAACAGAGGTGATGGCCGATATTATGGGCCTTGGTCACGGTGGTGATGGAGCTGGGGATCCACCATCTCCAGGAGGCTTTGGTCGCGGACAACATGAACAGGATGGTAAGTTTTATTATGATATATTTAATAGCTATTTTAATTAATTTATTATAAGTTATCGTGACTAATATTTTTAATTGTACTTTTTCAGTCGAGCTTCCAAAAAAAAGAAGGGGCTTGTCAAAGAATATAGAGCTAGGAAAGTGGATAAGGGAAAACAAGGGAAAGACTGTGGATTTGAATTTTGATAGGGAGATCACATATTCCCCTGTCGGGAAGCCTGCTAATTGGTTCACACATAGAATTGGGAGGTATTTGTGGAACAATGTCCCTTTAAACGTATCTGGTTAGGATAATGTTTCCCCGCGTTAAGGAATGCGACAGTTATGCATCTAAAGGTAACTTGAATAATATTTTATTTGAATAATATTTTAAGTTTCGTTGTGATTGTTATTTAATTAACTAACTTTTTTGTATTTGTAGAATAAGTTTGATTTGGATAAGGTTAACTTGGATCCGGAGCGTGCACAATTGTTGCGGAGCATTGATTCGAGCCTTGCAACAGTTTACAGAGGCCGAAAAAGTAAATCTCATTCTTATTTTAAGGATATCGGGGGGCATGCAGATATCCCAATGGTACTAAACAACCCCCCCCCCCCCCCAAATGGTATGTCACCAGAAAATTGGGCGAAGGCAGTCGAACATTTTCAATCGCCCGAATTTTTAAGTCGTTCAGCGTCAAACAAAGAAGTCCGTGCAAAACAACTAGTTGTAAACAGAGGGGGGTCGAGCTCGTACAGTAATGCATGCTTCAAAGAAGTAAGTTATGATATATTTAAATGTTTATTTAAAGTATAACAAATCTATTTTTTTGTTAAATAGGATATCATTCGAATCGAAGCATTCCGTAAGGCTAATTCCAATCGCCAAGGGGTGTTTTATAGTCCTGCAGTCGAGCAACAATACGTAAGTGGTTAATTTGTATTTTCATATACGTGTTTATATCGTCATGGGTATTTAGTAATATATTTTTATGATGTTTATCATTTTTTGAAAATACAGAATGCTTTACTTCAGGAGATCAATTAACAAACCCAAGCTTCTTCTTCAGCAAGCGGTCTAACGCCAAGTTATACAAGAAAATGTTTTAAAAAAATATTGGGTGTTCGACGAAGACATATTAGAGGCATCGGGCGTAAACCCCCTACCATTGTGTCTATGTATGATCAAGAACAACCGATGACACAAGAACCACCACAATCACAGGTAATTGTTTGTTTAAGTTGAAAAGTAGAATGCTATAATGCTATAATGATATGTTGGTAGTTTTTGAAAAATATAATACTATTATGATATGTTGGTAGTTTTTGAAAAATATAATACTATTATGATATATTGGTAATATATTTTGATTTCTTTGTAGATGGAAATGTTGCAAACGATACTGAAGGATCCGACATATTCTGCGGCATTAGAAAAGTGGTTTCGTTCATTGTCATCACCAAATAATGAAGAAAATGATGAGAGTGACGGCGAGGAGTAGGAATTTTAGGATTTTATAAAATGTTTGTTTAGAAGAATACTTTAATTAGGTTGTATGGACTAATATTTTTGTTAGTTGATTAATATTTTATAATTGTTATATTGTTTTTGGTTGTGTATGTGTTAAATATAGTTGATTTTATAAAATTGTAGATTTATATTCCATAAAATTGTAATAAAAAAATGAAAATAGTCTTTTGCACCGACATATAAGTATTAACAGCGACGAGTTTATAGCAGCGACAGGTAAGTATTAGCGGCGACAAGAAGAACATTAGCGACGAAGCATTAGCGACGACGTATTTGCAGCGCCGCATCGCCGCTAATACCCGTATTTCTTGTAGTGAATGTAAAAAACCAATATACATCAAAATGAAAAAACGTTTTAAATATTTTTATATATGTGAATTTTTATAAAATTAACAGAGCTCAACAACTCAAATTCAATTTAAACCATAAAAAATCGAATTTCTAAGATATTTAAAAAGGAAATATTTTGATAATTACCAAACATCATCAAAATGAATGACGATGAACAATCAGAAAAGATCACTAAGGAAATCAATAGATTCAATAAAAGCTCTGGTATAATTATTGAAAATTAATGGATATACGAAACAATTAAATAACCAAAAAAATTAATTCATAAGAAATTTCATTTAGATCAAACATGAGTAACCAAGCACAACCACAAAGGGTTGTTAATTTTACCTTAGGTGTAAATGGATATCTTTTAGTGTATAGAAACTACGATAAAAAAAAAATACCACCTCTATCTGTATCCACATGAACAACGCAAATAATTGTTAGACACTAATAAACAAATCAAGCATGGTGCATTTCTTCCTTGTTCATGTGATGGTCGATGAATGCCAAAAGGAAGAGAAGGGCATTGATTTAGGACAGAGACGAAAAAAAAAAAAAACTACGGTTTGTATTGATAGTAGCATAAATCTCTAGTTGTCCCCTTTTTTTAATAATAAACCCTAAATTTTTTTGGAAACGAATTAGTTACCTAGGATGACGTTGAGAAAATTAAAAGCTGAAGTTTGTGATAAATTAAGGGAGTGATTTTATAATTTTCCCAAAGCGATAATTTTGGCACTCAAAATGGGCAAGTCCCCATCCCATGTTAATAAGACGACGATACAAATCACAATCGTAAACTACCACCACCTTCTCTTCGATTTTTATTCCCCAAGTTTACGCGGCTCCAACAGACAATACGATTTTCTCTCCTCTCTCTATGCACTCCCCCTCCATCTTTTTCCATTCACATAAACAAAATCACCGAAACCTACCAATCAGCAACCCTACGTCGATTCTCCGGCTTCTTCAACATGGATTATTGATCCATGATCAATCTTATTAAGGTTTTGCTATTTGCTTTTTTTTTTCATCCCATCTGTATTTTCTTGAATCATGTTCTTCTTGATAGTAACAGTTCGATCTTGTAA